TTTATATATTATATATATATATATATATATATATATATATATATATATATATATATATATATATATATATATATATATATTACATTGCATTTACATTTCGTCATTTAACAGACACTTTTATCCAAGGCGACTTACAAATAAGGACATATGTATTCATTTATTACATTATATATATTATATTGCACATATATTAATATAAATTGCACATGTGTATCTAAAACACATTTTGTTTTTTAGTAATATTACAGAAATATTACATTTATGTATGACTGACAAATATACATCACATAAAGTTAATCAGTTCATGCTAAAACTGTGTAATGCAAATGGATGGAAATTTTTTAGGCCTAAATATTTTTTTCGAGTGTGTATGTTTTAAAACTGTCACAAGGGGGAACTACTGCCCAGGATGCCAGGTATTTGGGCACAGTTATCGGTCGATGCAGATAATCTGAAAATGGCCAACGGCTGGCCTGTTAATCAGGCTATGATAGGTGTGTCACTAATCTCAGTACTGGAGCAGATTTGACTCACAGTCTTAGCCTGGCTGGTGGCAGCAGCGGGGCTCGGCTCAGGAGGGGATTTGCCAGCGGTCACGCGGGATCCGTCTGTGCCAGCAGGTGACCTGCCAGCGGCAAGTGAACGCAGGAGGAGCAGGAGATGAAAACCTGCCACAGCCTCAGAGAAAACAACACACAATTATTACAGTTGATTTATGAATGTAGATTTTGGAAGGTACTTAAATGTATATATATAGATCCAGATTGTGCCAGGGACATTTGCATGGTTTCTTCATCTGCTAGATGACAGTTTCATATGCTTGATCAAGGGTTCAGCATCAAAGAACTCAACACCAGTCTGTCAGTCACTCACATACTGTCATTTAAATCTACAGAGCAGCCTTATGTGGGAACATAACACCCTCGACGCTCTGCTCACAGGAACCACGGGAACTACAGCTCTGGCCTGAAGGCTAGTGAGGGAAACGTTCCTCACGCCTGCAGCCTGCACGTCTGAAGGGGAGGGCGATCAAAGAAAAAGGAACAAAAGTTTAAAGATAGTTGCGGAAAGGAAAGAAATGAGAGACCAGAAGCATCATTTTTCAGTTGATCGTTTTAACCAGTCACATTGTTGCATTCAGTAACTGTATGCAAACACTCTTGAGATATCAGGAAGATCTGTTTTCTCAGCTGCTGGGTTGTGAGCTGGTTTCATGTCTGTTCTGACAGAGAGAAAATGCAATGCTAAATACATATAATGACATAATCTTGTTGGGATTATATGTGCAGTTGCTTTTTGGCAAAACAACAGTGTTATTTTTTTGTATTATTTATGCACTATTATGGTACTTATTAATATATTGAATTATATTTTATGTTTATATTTAAAGTTTCAGTTTTAGCAATTTTGTTATGTGCTTCTGACATTTTTAAATATTTCTTTTTATTTCAGTTTAATAATTTAAGTACTTAAGCGTATTTTATTTCAGTTAGTTGGCCACATTTCTAATTTTGTAAGTTCTTTTTTAATCTAATATTTATATTTTTATTGTATTTCAGCTTGATTTCATTTAACAAAAATATTTGTAAGTGTTTTAATTTGAGTTCATTGCCATTTTAAAAACCTAAAAGTGATGTTTTTATAAACCTGGAAAAGTCATGAAAAATGTATAAACATTTTTTTTCATGCCTTTATTTAATTTCATGTTAATATTGCAATGAACATGAAATTATTAAATTAAATGAAATTAAACATGTATAAACATGTCATTTTTTCTATTTGTAAGTATAAAAAAATGTGTATGTGTAAGTAAAAAATGTAATCACAAACTAAAAAATGTCATGTACATTCATTGGTTATAAAAAAAAAGAAAACTATGAAGCACATTCAATTATTGGAATTATGACATTTAACAACAACATCACTGCAAAATATATATATATTTCCATAAATTTATTTAGCATGTAGCATCTGGGTCTTGGATTAAAACCAGCTGAAATTCACTGATTTAATATAAACACATTTTACTTTTAAATCTTAAAGGGATAATTCACTCAAAAATAAAAATATTTGTCATAATTTGTTCACCTCCATGTCATTCCAAACCTGTATGCTTGTGCTCCACCTTACTGTGAAGCACAAAAGATGATATTTAAAAAAAGTCTTGTGAGAAATGTTCTTTCAGACCCCATTTTGAGGACTAAAAACAGTCAAAAGACCCTCTAAATGAAAGAAAGAAAAAAAGGGAGAGAAAAAAATCCTGCTGGTTTGTAGAGAATGTGAGTAAAATGATGACAGAATTTTCATTTTTGGGTGAACTATCTCTTTAACATAGCTTTTGCTGTGTGTTTACATCTCTTCCCCTCTATACATCAGAATAAACTTCACCCACAATGGCAAATGCCAGTGTCCAACACATCTATCAGTCTAATACGCCACAGCAACAATGGTGCAAGTCAGAGCGAGGCGCAGACAGGCTCCACAGCATTGTGCTGCATTCAGCTCCTCGCTTCTGCCTCAGCAAGTGTCTTACAGTCGAGTTTGACCTCAGTGCTCTTGAAGACGGACAGCACAACAAATGAAGTTGTTGTACGTCCAGTACACAGTAAGACTGCTGGCAACTTGGTTGAGAACATGAGAAGAGCGAGAAGTAGGAGTGACTTTATTGGCGCGTCTTTGCTAAGTATTAAGGCTTTGGTGTTGAGCACTGATGGAGACCTCACACCCTCTCCAGCCTCAAAGACTGCGGCAACCTGCAGCTGTTCACACCTCTCAAACCTGAAAGGGA